GGAAAGACCTAAGGAGAAATTCATGAAGATGAGAGGCTAATATTTTCAATGGTTGGACTCAATAAAGCTTACAGTGTGAATTTAAAAATTACGTCAATCTAATAATTCAATATCTTATTTATTTGGGCCGATTATTCTCGTTTGCTTCGTATTTTCCTCCCAGGCGTCTCAGCAGAATGAAGAGGGTTGAAGTCTTGTTCTTACGTCGATTGGATATTTCAAAATCTGTCTGTCGTGGTGATTGTTCTCGTTTGCTTCTTCTATTCCTCACACGCGTCAAGAGTTTTTTTAAGAGAATTAATAGTGGTTTCTCACTTACCCCCTCAAGTGACTCGAATTCAAAACCTATTGTTCCCCATCTCGTCTCACATGCGTCAAGGGTTGAAGACTTGAAGTCTCGTTAATTTATTTATTTATTTATTTTTTGGTGTGATTTTCTTTAGTTGTGTAAAATATATTTAAAAAAGGTAGAATATGGACCCTATTTAATATCTACCTTGCTGCCACATAAGCGCCACATATGCAAAAGACTCCTAACAAAACAACTAGTACAACACTCGTGTATTACACGGGTGCTTGTTAAAAAATTATTCTTAAATTTTAAATTAATAAAAAAATTATTTTAAATTTTATTTATCTTATTACAAAAAAAAAATATATTATTATATATTTTAGAATGACATTTGTTACTTGTGTGACTTACATGTGTTTTATCATAGTAATTTTAATAACTTATATGATATAACTACTTGAAATATAAATATATTAATTGGTAAATAATTTTATTTTTCTAATTAATATTAAAAAATAATTTTTATTATTGTTATAAAGATAAATATAATTTATTTTTTTTATACATACAATATGGATGTTAAATCGAAGCTCATCAAGATATGATTAATTTGATATATTATGTATGTAAAACTGATAAAAAATACAAAAGTTATTAACTTTTAAAATATATTTACAATTGAATGGCTATAATAAGAAATGATATTAAGATGTAACTAATACATGTAACATGACCATAAATAATGAAATAGTCCGAATCTAATTATTTTCTGATTTGAAGTAAATTAAAATCTACCAAAACTAATAACGAAGCATGTAATTTTACTAAATAGGATCTCGAAGCATGCGAGTCTGTCAGTTAGGCCCAACATATTCTAAATTAATATATAGGGGATTGTGGATATTCGAATGCTTTATAAAGAACCGTGTACTTGATATGAATTTATTAAGGACTACTAGTGCCAAATCCTATAAATATCGGACCTAAATGCAATTTAGCCTATTTTCCCATCACTTAATAGGATTTTATTTCAGATTTAACAGAATTTGAATTTCCTGTGTGCCCCGCGACTATAAATAAAGGGGCTCGCATTTCAAACCCGATAGTCGTTTCCATCGTCCACCTCCTCACGCACTTCATGCATTGAAACTGCGCAAAAAATGCTTTCAAACCAAAACTTCTGAGTCAATATCGGAGCCTCAACCGGAGCTGCTCACAGTCACTGAAGAGAGAAGGAATTCAAGCCGCGAAGAATGGGGAAGCGCTTGAGGAAACCGAGATCGATCTGCTGCTGCATCTCTCCCAGAACATCGTTCAGTAAATTTCACTCGGTTTTCAGCTGGTATTTACTTGATCTATGAGTTCAATTTCAATTTCGCAGCCTGTTTTTTCATACTCGCGAGCAAATGAAGCTTGATTTGAGTTCTGTCTGGCATTGTTCAGTTTATTATCGGATGAGGTGAAACTGAGGATTTGGATTGACGCTTTGATCTTGTACTTCTAGTAGTTTTTGTTATATGTAACGGTAATATCTTTTGAACTTGATGATCTCAAATTAAGATATGTAAATTCGAGTTCAAGTTTGAGTGAAGGGCATGTTCTGCTTTTAGTGAGCTGAATTCATTGGAATATCGTGATGTTTATAATTCAATTGAACATTAGCTATGTGGATTTTCGCTCATTGTTCTGTTTCTTCTGGAACTGCATTTTTACTTGTCAATTTTGCTGAGACTGGTTTGAGTAACAACAGGACTTGTTAATTCATTTTGATATCTGCAGTGGGAGAACTTTTTCCTATCTTCTGAAAGTCAGTAGCTATTTATCTGGCGAGGAACATACAGTCCAGATATATTTTTTCATATAACAGTAAATTTAACATTAGGATTTTGGGAAATATTTTATGCTGGATTGCCTCAGTTTCTGGGGATCTTCTTGTTTGAAAATATTGATGTTTCTCTGAGTAATATTTGATGTTATATTATGACTAGGATGTATGGCTTCACGATTTACTTTAAATAGAGCTGAGCTTCACTTTCAGTAGTTCAGGAGATAAAACTGACATGTGGAAATTGCTTCAGTGTTAAATATGAACTTGGTTCAAAACAAAAATCTGCTCGTAATCTTGTGGAATTATGAGTTTAATGTTCCACATATATAACAGGATAACAGCTGTATATATTTTACTTGATTCATCTTTGATGTTTATCCTGAATGTGGAAAGGTATGAAGTGGATACGTGGACAGAGATCGCCAAGTTCTTGGATGGTAGATCTCTAGTGATGCTTGCAGTGACTTGCAAATGGTTTAATCATGTTGTGATGGAAGAAAGCGTGTGGAAGTATGCATGTTTGCGTGATCTTCAGGTTCCTGACCCCGGAAAAGCAACATGCAACTGGAACAAACTCTATGCGTCAGCTTTTGGTATTATTTAGCTTCCTTGGTGCTTAGTCCAATTGTGAAAGTCTTTATATTTTCTCATGTCAAGAGTTGGCAATTAACCTTTGCAGATGGAAGCCACTCTTACTTGTTCCGTCAGCCGGAGAAGCATATTGGTAATCATATAGTTTTCTTCTAGTGGACTCATCTTTCATCTTTCATTTTCCTGGATTTTTGTCATTTATATAAGGCTTGAGATATTGAGGGCATTACTGATGTCTAACATAAATTATGCACACAATGCGTAACATGAAAAACCGAACTGAGAAGTTGTTAAGTCTCATAAGCATCTGAGACATGTTTTTACGTCTATTTTGACCTTAACAGATTGGATGCGGATTGGAGCATTCTCGTTTGACTCATCTGCTGCCCTGCTGACTGAGAGTTTAATTGCACCCCTCAGAATTCCCAAAGCAGATACGAAAGATCAAATGTTGCAGCAAAGTGGCTGCTGTCTGTTAAACAATGTCAAAACTGGAATCTGGATTGCTGGTAAATTAACTATCGTTGTCTTAAATGGGCAATTCTTTTTCCAGAATTTGCAATACCTTGATATATTTCATATTTTCTAACTATCTACACATCCAACTGTGATTATCCTTGAAGACTTGCAGCTTGTACGGTGTCCTGTTTGCGACCTTGATACATGTGATGGTGAGTTCAAACATGACTATTTTACCTTCTATCAGTGCAGTGGTTTTTGCCATAGATTTAAGTACAATTAGTGTCACTTTCATTTTACTCGACAAGTATACCCTTAGCATCTGCCTTTCACATACTCAAGTATCCTGAAGTCAACCTGACATTAGTAACAGAAAATGATAATTCCTAATGGGGAGTTTACATTAAAGGTACCACTCTTGTGTAAAACAGGAACAATGCAAACCTTGGATGCAAGGCATATTGAACTCTTCCTATGTGAGGGATTTCAAGATGGTAGCTGGGATTATGAAGTATTAGGAACTTATAATATCAGCAAGCATGCTAATGGTGCTTCTGGTGGAATTTTTGACATTAAGCATCTCAAGGATAGATCGACCTCCGGTATCTTCATTGTTTTCCAATCCTCCATATGCTTATTTCAAGATTCTGTAGAAAGCTTACATGCTTGAATTGAAGACCCTTACCTTAGTTCTGGTATATACTTATTTTTCTGGTATATATTTTTTTACGTTTCAGCTATCTTCAATCTTAAATCATGGGTGGGGCAACCAAAGGACTGGCAACCAAAAGCTATGATTACCCTCCATGCGGTTGCAGTGAACACCAATTTGCAAGAGAATGAAGGTAATATATCTGCTTTCAACTGATTTT